GACAGACAGACAGACAGACAGACAGACAGACAGACAGACAGACAGACAGACAGACAGACACACACACACACACACACACACAAAGAGAGAGAGAGAGAGAGAGAGAGAGAGAGAGAGAGAGAGAGCAGACATGATAGTTCATAGACAGAGAGACAGACGCGGAGAAAAGGAAAACAGTCAAATAGACATTCAGATAGACTGGAAAACACATCTATAGGCAAACAGACAGATAGTTAACAAAATACTGTAGTTCAGCTGATACATTTACTGCTGATCTTTATGCTCTCTAACAATGCACTGTTGACATGGCACTATCTTAAACACAATGCTCAAGTAAAAGATGGAAAGACAGATCATATTACAAGCACCACCAAACTGTTGCATGCCAGCCACAAGCAATTGGCAATAAATAGCCTGTTGCTGACCGTACGAGTCATCAGAAGCTTAGCAGCTCAGGAAGAGGTCAAGACTTGAATGCCCGAAGAGTTCACAGGCGCAGACTTCTGTCTCCACAAGGACGTTACTATAATATAACCTCCTTGGTCTCCACAGATTTGGAAGACATCCCGGTCTTGTCAAGCAAAAGAAAGGGCCAGGCTTTTATCATAGCCACCCTATCATACTGCTGGGAACTGGGAACTGGGAACACGACTTCGCTGACCTTATCGGTCATACGGCGGGACTTACGAGCTATTAGAAGTTTGCAATATAAGTCCTTCGTGAAGAGGAAGGGGAAAGACGGGGTGGGGAGTCGCAAAAGAGAGACGTGGGGAGGGAAATGGGAATGGGGGCGGGCGGGAAAGGGGGAATGGGAGAGGGGCAAAGGAGAGGGGTGGGGATGGGAATGGTAAGGGGAATGGTAAGGGGAATGGGAAGGGAAGGGCCAAGAGAGGTGGGCGGGGAAGAGATTGGGAAAGGTGGGGGGGGGCAAAAAAGAAGGACGGGGAGGGGGAATATTTGAAAGATTCAACTGGGCTCCAAAAATGCCTTTTGTCGACATACTTGCTGCTCTCTCATTTCAGCTGGTAACATGCTGGTCTTCAGATAGGATGGCCCATATTCGAATCCCCAACGGGGAACTGCGGTTGTTTCGTAGTGCCTTCAAAGCACTGCATCCACTTAGGTACTATAGGAAGTGGGCGTTAAATTCAGAAGTCTCACCCCTTAAAAATCGGTACAGTATAGAAAGGAGAGTTAAGCCCATACAATTACCAAATACAAACTATACCAGAGCACCATTCAGTCGGCTGTATAGGTTATCACCTTTGGGAGCGGGGCAAATATTTGAAAGATCCACGGCCAAGAAAAAACTGCAGTAAAAGTCAAACTGAGCCCACCCCCAACTCCATACCCATGGCACCAACCAATGGGAACTCACTTGACCAACTACTACGCATATCCGGGGTCTCCACACACTGTCAGGCCACATATCAAAAGCCATGACGTCATATACACACAACACTTTTATTTAAAGTTATTGTAAGATTGGGAGGCGC